TGGTTTGGAGATGGGGATTGGGGAGACGAGGGATGGGGGTTGTGTGCTTGGTGTCCTAAGCCTCGGAGGATGATACCACAAGCAATTTTTTGGAGGTTTTTTTGGAGAGAGGGTAGTGGGGGTGGGTGAGCAGTGAGTGTGGTTTTCATGATGAATAGTTGTGGCTTGGCTGGCTATGGAGACTGTCTGTCCAGTGAGGAACTCGTTGGATGGGGGATGGGGGGTGTGATTTTTTGTATCTCTCTTCACACCGTAGTTAGTCAGGAATGCTTGGGTCATGAATATTGTGCTGTGCCGTGCAGTGGTGTGCTGTGATTGTCTTTTGTGTGTGATTGTTGTAGTTTGATCGGAGAGGGGTGGTCTTGAAGTCATGGATGTGTTTTTTGGGTGTGAGGAGACGACAGGGTCTCGTGGACTGTTTAGTAGTTGATGCTAGTGATTGCATTACATGTTGAGATGTCTTCTTGTGTCCTATCTGTCCTGTAGAGTGATTCATATTGGTGTGGAAGTCTTTGTATGTGTTTCTGCTTTATTGTTCGTAACATATGTTGGTACTATTTTATATTTCTTCCAAGGGGAAAATAAAAATAAAAATTAATACTTCGCACAACCAGCAGCATTTGTATGGTGCAATCAATCAATATATATCCACGATTGCCGCCTAAAAAATAATTAGCCCCGCGGGTTTTAAATGGATATGGGATGCAAACAGTCCAGTACTCGTAGAGTATTCTGAGCACGCCTCTAAGCTCAGCCTGCACGGTGGCTGACGGCGAGGCATACTTTTGAGATATTGAAGTACGGCACGTAGATTTACTTCCTTTCGCCTGTGGTAATTAATACGGTGGATAGCTTTATCGTACTCTATGCAAAATAGGAATACCTGCCTTTCGTGATGTGATTTTTGGTGCCATTGAGGTTTATTTTATATGTGTAGGCCATACACGAGAATATATGAAGACCGGAGCTGCACGGATGTAGTCCCTGGCCAGAACCTATTATCATTTGATACTCTACTGTACTGTATTCACCTCGACCCTTGATTTAAAACCCTTTAGTTACAAGTATATTTCTGTCAAATGTGATGGGTGTTGTTTCTCGCCAGGATAAATATTCAGGGGAGAGCTGTGAAATCAACATATATACCCTACAACATGCATATAATTCAAGTCGGAGAAGATTGAAAGAATGCAATACACCCCAGAGATCAGCCTGGCAGATTGGCAAACCATTGTTGAAATTTCACAGCAATTCACATCACAGCAGCATAAACACACCCCTCAAATCACCCCCAAAACGCGTAAAGACACAAAGTAACGATCAAGTACAAGATCTATGCCGGGATTGATATACATATGGCCTCTCATACCACTCTAGAGTGTTCTAAACCATCACAACCGTCTTTAGGACCAGCGCCACCGAGCAATCTAGTGCTTGGCAGACTCCTCCTCAGGCTCCTCGAACCAATCCTGCTCCACGGCGGCCTCGGAGCCAGCCTCAGCCTGGCCCTCGATATCAACAGTCGAGTCCTCGTAGGCCTTCAGCTCCTTGGCGATGTCGGCCTCCTCGGGGGAGGTAGGGGTCTGGGGGGGGTTGAACTTGAGGACGTGTCCCTCGGCGTCGGAGGCCTTGACTGCGGCGGGCTTGTAGGCCTTGAGCTCCTTCAGGTACATCTCCTGGACGAGGTCGGCTGCGGAGAAATAGTTAGAATCCTGTATATACACGCAATTGGAGATGTAGTATCGAGAGAGGGGAGTCGTACCTTGACGGACAGCAGTCGGGGTGATGATGGTGCGCTTGGAGATGAACTGGCTCCGCGCGAGGCGGGCGAACGAGGAGCGCTGGCGGGAAATCAGTAATCGTTCATCAGCAAGAGATCAATGGCAGCGTACCGAAGCGCGGATAGACTGTGCGAGCATGGTGACGAGGTGAATGGGGCTCAATTGACCGTTGACAGACAGCTTCCAGCACCTTCAAATCTGTTCCGGGAGTCGTCGAAACGCTAGCCGAGACGAATATCGGCAGGATCACGTGGTCGCGAGAAGTAGCCGCACGAATCCCTCTTAGCGCCGCTTCGTGGCGTGCGTGTGCGTATATGTGACTGCGACACACCAGCCCTGCCTCATTCTTTTCTGCGTCATTCCACGTCCAACGTCTGCTTCAGCACCCGCCGCGAAGAACGACTTACCCATCGCCGAAGGACCTACAAAGTTGCTGGCCATCTTGATAGCGACAGGTAAACCGTCTTCAGCCGATCTTTCTACAGTCTACGGGGTTGGATATTCGACTTCGGAGACGCCTTTACTGGTTCAGATCGATCGCAGGTGTGCAGCGTAGCCCGGTTTCAACTTTCCTGACTTAGGAGCCAGTCTCTCAACTTCAAGATACTCATTCGTTCAGTCTATCACTCTTCAAATCTCATACTTCACCTTGTGCGTCGATTTCTTTCGACGATCTGCTGAGATCGAAGCGAATATCGCCACAGCCTCGGCTTCACTTCAACCTCAGTGAACATCAAGTAGACCTCAAGTGACAGCCTTGTAGAGATCGCTTTCAACAGCGCGAAACTTCAAAGAGCAACTACGTCAGTTGGCACTGGAGTTTTCTCCAGACCAAACCGCCAAACTGCATTCTCCGCTTTTCGTCAAGTTCCATACGAAACGACTCTGCACAACACCCACAAAAGACCTGAAAACACGCTTTCTGGTCACCAAGAAGAAGAAGTCTCTGCCCAAAGAGAAGGTTTCCCCGCGACAGATCTTATGTGATACTAGAAATATATACCACAAGAAGAACGCATACGAACCCAAGATGGCTACCACTACCGCCACCGCACCTGGCGAGACAGACCCGTATATCGAGAACCTGAATATGCAGATGATATGCAAGGAGTGCAAAGAGTTCCCGCCCAACCTGGTCGAAGAGTTTTCCTCTGGCGACATGGTCTGTGGCTCCTGCGGCCTCGTCCTTGGAGATCGGATTGTCGATACACGTTCCGAGTGGCGCACTTTCGCAAACGATGACCAAGGCAACGACGACCCATCTCGTGTCGGAGACGGCGCGAACCCACTCCTCAACGGATCCCAGCTCTCCACTACTATTGCATTTGGCGATGGTTCTGGTCGTAGCCGCGATCTTCAGCGCGCACAGAACAAGTCTGCCCATGACAAGAGCACCAAGAACCTCTTGGCAGCCTACAAGGAGATCGGCGCCCACTGCGACGCTATTGGAATCCCCAAGACCGGCGCTGATGTAGCCAAGCACCTGTTCAAGATGGTGGATGATGCGAAAGCATTCAAAGGGAAGTCCCAAGAAGCCCTCATCGCCGGGTGCATCTTCATCGCCTGCCGCCAGAGCGGAGTCCCCCGTACCTTCCGCGAGATCTACGCCCTGACGAAGGTTTCGAAGAAGGATATCGGCCGCACCTTCAAGGCGCTGGAAAAGTTCTTCGCCAGCGACGAGAACAAGGCGGCGCTGACAAATGGTAAGTTGTTATTGCTATACACACTAATCTATTCTCCCATATTAACCGCGTGGTGTGTGAAGGCTCCCTCGCGCAAACGGACGCGTACCAAGCGACGACCTCTACGAACGCCGTAGACCTCGTCCTGCGCTTCTGCTCCCAGCTCGGTCTGCACGGCCAGCAGTTCGTCAAGGTCTCCCAGGGCCTCGCGGACAAGGTATCCACCATGGGCGACCTCGCCGGCCGCTCCCCGCTCTCCGTCGCCGCCGCGTGCATCTACATGGCCAGCCACCTGCTCGGCAAGCCCAAGAGCGCACGCGAGATCGGCAACATGGCAGGTGTCAGCGACGGCACCATCCGCACCGCGTACAAGTTCCTGTACCAGGACCGCGAGCGCCTCATTGAGCCTGAGTGGCTCGCCGGCGGGAAGGGCAAGATGGAGAATCTGCCTGCCAACTGAGCCTGCTGCTGCTTCTTGCGGCGGCGCCACGAAAGGAGTGACATCCCTACTTCGTGGCTGCGTTGGCTTTTTTTGCGGATACCCCGCCTTTTGAGTGTTGCTCAGTGGTTGACGAGTGCCTTTTGAGGGGTTTCCTTTTTTTTTGTGCTACTAAAACGGTTTCTTGAACGCGCTACATCGGTGATTCGATATTCGCGCGCGCTGATTCCGCTACTCTGCACATTTGCACTGGTCTCGTCTTCCATCTCAGAGTTTTTTTTTCTTTGCGGAGAGCCTCCCCTGGCCCAGCAGGGAGAGAGAGAGGACACGAACGGAATGAGATGTAATTACAGAATACAACACAACAAACACAGAACCTCTCACACTCTCACCACGAGAGAAATAATAAGAAGAAGAGACCAAAAAGCCCTCTGGAGAAGATTGTTGATAGAGGCATCTATACAATTGCCTTGCATTGCTCTGGCGTTTTATTTTACGGGGGGATGGATGTTAATGTGGGATTGGGATGGGCGTGGCGTGGATGGGGGCATGGGACATTGCATTGCATTTTACATACCAAAAACAGACTCGGATGGGCAACTACTACTATTTTCGTAAATGGATGGGGGAGGGAGGGAGGGGGAGATACAGACGCAGATACAGATACATAAAAAATAGAAAATGGGGATATAAAAAACTCATCATGTGTATACATGCATGCGTGACCTTGTGAACAGTTAGTTATAAAAGAGTGAGGAGTATAATTGTCTACGTCCATTGGATTTTAACCCTAGCCCCCCATTTTCCAAACTCCTTCCTGTCTTGCCATTCGAACTCCCCATTTCATCCCAAAAAAATCAAAGGCAACCAAAACCAAAAACGAGTGACTCAGGTATAAAACCATGAACAGCACCAAGACAAACAAACCAAAACCAAGCGAATGTGGGTAATAGAAAATCGCCGCAGAACCAGAACCAGAACCAAAACTTTCAAAATCTAACCAAGAATCCTCTTCTACCCAAACTCCTCGTCCCGTCATTTTTCATCCGCTCTTTCGATCAGCTCCCACGTGGAGTATATAGAGTATATACCCCCCCCCTACTTCCTCCCCCACAACCAAAACCGCCCCTTCTTCTTCCCCCCCTCTCCCTCCCCATTAAGTTCCCCCGCACCACCCTCCGCTACACTCTCCACCGTCGCCACCGCCGGCGCATTACTCGACCCCAACGACCCCGACCTCGGCATCACCCCGCCATCAGCCTCCACAACCCCTGCCCCTTTCTTCTCATAACTCTCCACCGAAGAGCTCGCGCCCTCCTCCCCCTCCATCTCATCGCCAAATCGGGGGACAACCGTACTCGCAAACTTCCTCGCCGATATGCCCTCCGCGAACAACCAATCCATCTCCGCGTACGTCCTTCCCCTCGGCTCCGGGATCCGGAAGAACGCATACACGAAGCAGAGCGCACAGAAGACGACCCAAAACCACGCTGTCTTCATCCCCCAGTTGAGGGCCGTGGGGTTGAGCTGGTAGGGCGTGACGACGCAGTTGAAGACGCCGAAGGCGTTGTAGCCCATGCGTGCGATGTTGATGGTCTTTGATTTCGTGCGCGTGGAGGAGAGTTCCGAGACGAGGGCGTACGTGACGGGGCCGATGGTGCAGCCGTAGACGAGGGTGTAGAGGAGGAGGAGGGAGCCGGAGAGCCAGCCAGTCAGCTCGGCGCTGAGGCCGATGGTGGCGATGATGCCGCAGATGGTGAGGACGAAGGTGAGGAGAAAGAGGCCCCAGAGCTCGATGGTGCGGCGGCCGAAGCGCCCGAGGAGACACCAGGATATTGCTGTGCCGACGAGACCGAGGGCGTACTGAGAGCGTTAGTATGTGTGCGTGTGTTCGGGGACTTGGGGGCTTACCTGGACAATAACGAAGTTCCAAGTTTGCTCCGGCGCCATGCCTGCGCGCTGGAAGAAGTACGGAGACCACTGCATGAGTGCTGAGCCACTCGCATTCTGGATGACCCACGTGAACGTCGAGATCTCCGTACGTCTGCGATTAACGCCACGGAAGCAATCAAGATATCCCGTGCCCGTGCCATTAGTCTCACGGAGCTCATCGGCATTGGTAAGTTGGATCATGGCGAGCTGACCATCGATGCTGTAACCCTCTGGCACGCGACTCTGGGACACAAGTTTAGTGAGGACCTTGCGGGCCTCGTCGGTGCGGCCCTTGCGAACAAGCCACCATGGCGACTCCTGGGCCCATAGCGAGAAGATGAAGATAGGGAGAGGGAAGACCCATTGCAGACCAAGAGGGATCTGAATCGACAGCATCGTCATATTATTAACCAACGCCCTCTGCGTAACCGCACCAAGACACTGTCCAATAATCCAGCACACATTACTCCAAGCCGTCACATACGCCCTAATCGGCGTCGGACACACATCAGACGCATAATTCGTCGTGAGCGTCTGGAACACCCCCCAAGGCAGTCCACACAGCAACAATCCCACCAAGAACATCGTCAAGCTCCCCGCAAAAAACACTATAAAGATAAACGCCGACAGCGCCACCAGCGACGCCATAAACGTCCTCTTATACCCAAACCGCTCCACGAGCCAGCCACTCAGCAGCACACCCGCCATCTGCCCAACCGTCGGCCCAATCACAATCGCCGACTGCCACGATGCGGGGATCTCGCACACCTTGCCATCTAAGGACGCATCCGGACACTGGTAGCGCCGGCGGAATACGGGGTTGGTAAGGAAACCCGTGATGAGGACTAGATCGAAGCCCTCCATGATACACGCGCAGGAGAGGATGATGGCTTGCAGCACAGCCGGCCAAAAGGCGCGCACGCACGTCCAGGTGCTCATCTCCTTCTCGACGGCGGTTGCTTGGCGGGCGAGCGGGACGCGCTCTTCGCGCTCGGCGGCGTCCTGGGCGCGCAGGGTCTCAGGGGCGATGGCCGTGCTGTCAGGACCGAAGATGTTGGTCGTGGGTGGGAGTTCGGTGGCTTCATCTTCTTTTTCGTTTTTGGAGCGGCCGGTGAGGCGCCCAGCGGCGTTGGAGAAGGCGCCCATGACGGAAGAGACGGGGAAGCTTGGTTCGAAGGGTATCGACGGCGCCACGGCTCTCGAATCGAATTGGTGGTGGTGGTGACGGTTGGGGATTCGTAGGCGCGTAATGAATGTTTGGAATGCTCTTATCTTATATTACCGATCGATATATGGATAATTTCTCGTATAACTCGGGAAATGAGGAGAGAAAAGATAAGATGATGGATGTGAGGGGTTTGCGGAGAAAGAAAGATGGAGATGATGGGGGATGGAGATGTAGTAATGAGCGGGGGGGAATAAGACGATACTGACAGAATGAGAGGGCCTCTTGTAGATGTGGGCTTTGCTTACCTGTTTAGCTTACCATGAACTCTCGCGGTATGAGAGTCTGGGACTGGGCTGATATGATGGGAAGGAGCGAGTTGACTGGATGGAGTCGGTGGTATGGAGACCACATGACCTCTAGAGCCTGCGCGGACCAAATTTTGATAGCTAGTCCGAGAAGTTAAGTGTATAACTAAAATAAAAACGGACGAGGAAGGAGCCATGGGGAAGCTGTGGGGTGTTCCTTCCTATTATATCACCTGGGTCTAGTTAGTCCCCTCATGTTGCCATTGATAGCACAGTTGCCAGTTGTATATCAAAAACAAGAACAGTATACTCCCCTATCCCCATCTCCAGGATAGAAACATATCTAAAGAATCCAAAGAATCCGCGTCCCATCGCCGGTCGTCACGAACGGTAATGACAGCCGACAGACGACATAGCGCGGCGGCAGGCGCGAACCTTAACCCTAGCGCCGACCAATAGCCACCCCGCCGCCGCTTCCTCGTCCGTCATACAGCATCACAAAGCATCCGCACCCGCAGCGGCATGTGACACTTTCGTACGATCATCCCCGCGGGGTGGACCGTGACTTAGAAGTAATAATTATATTTTCTCTCTCTTCTCCAACCTAGCTCCTCTGAATAAGCTTCCCCGAATAACAATAGTAGTAATAGTAGTAGTAATAGTAATAGTAGCAGCAGTAGTAGTAGCAGCAGCGTGAGTACCAGCCCACCCACCGCCCCATCCACCCAACCAAACTCCGCGCTCCCCCCGCAAACGGACTGAAAATCAATACACAACAAACAAAGTTTTACACCTCCCCCCCCAAACAAACTACCTCCTCAAACTCCCCACCCGTCCAAGGGCATACCACCTCCTCGTCCTCGTACTGGCCGTATCCCTAATATCCCTCCCCCCCATCCCCGTCTCCAGGATTCCCGTCCCCTCACCCCCATCAGTCGGACTCGCACCCGTACTCAGCCTCCGCTCCCAATGCACCCTGCTGCTCGGGCCGCGGGACTCCATACTATGCGACGTCGACGGCCTCGGGGCGTCAGCTGTAGCGCGTCCGCGCGGGTAGCGCGAGATAGGTGGCGGGGTAGCAGAGGCATCACGGATGTCTTCAACGACCGTGATGCGTTTGGGAGCCGATATATCCTTGGTAGTGATAGGGGGTTGTTCACTACTCCCACGCATGAAAGCCGGTGGTGGCATCTGCGAAACAGCCGCTGATACCGAGCGGCCTAGGCCGAGCATCTTAAACAAGCCGCGCTTTTGCGGCTCCTCTATAGTCTTCTGCGGCGACGCCTTAGGTCCATGAGGCGGCGGCTCTGGCGCATCTGCTTCAGCGCGCGCAGCTTGGAGGCGACGGAGGCGTTTCTCGTTACCTGCTGGGGAGCCAGGGTTAGCGAGGGAGGAGCGGCGCTCCGGGGGCGCGGGATGGTATGAGTTTTCGATTTGGGCGGCGAGGGAGGCTTGCGGGTCTTTGATGTAGCCGCTTGCGGAGCGCTCGTAGCGGTAGATAGTGGGTGTGATGTCCTCGGCACGGGGGTTGGAGGCGTCGAGGGGTTTGCGCGAGCGGATGGGGATGTCGTCGTCGCGGCGGTTGAACATCACGTCGCGGCCCCAGTCTTTCTTGTAGTCCTCGCCGAAGGAGAACATCTCTGGTGCGCGGAATGTGACCGGTCGAAGGTTCTCTCGTGCTGCTGATACCCAGGGGTCCATGGTGCTTGTTGCCTCACTGGCGATGTCAGAGTTCGTCTCTGTGACTTCGCTCTGAGTCGCAGTGTCCCAGCCATGTCCGTCGCGGCGGCTCGTGATGGTCTCGGCGGCGCTGCGGGGGCGACGGAGTCGGGCTAGGTCGTACTCAGGGCTGGTCTGGGCACGGCTCAGGTAAGGCCTGTTATCATCGTGTTCCTGTGTCTTTCTGGACACGAAGCTAGTCGCGTCGGCGTTGAGGGTATCGGTTGAATTTGAATTCTTGTACTGCTGTAGCGAGTTGGTGCTGAAGGTGTCTGGCGTGGGAGGCAGGGCGCGTTGCTCGAAAGACTCCAAGTCCGTTCTCCGAATGCTGTCCGGCTTCGCAGGCACAGACCTCGGCGGATCATTTGGTTTGTGATCCGACGTATTTTGCATGAGGCGAGCTGCAATGGCCGGCCCATTACGCCTCTCAACAATGCGCTGGAGCTTCTCGAGTCGCTGGAGCGGCGACTTCACGACGTCGTTCATAGATAGGAATTGTCCTACGGCAACAACACCCGGAACTCGCCCAGATGATTTTCGCCCCATCGGGTTTGCATTTTTGAGGCCGTCTCCGACCCATTGGTCCACGGATGTGGCGTTCATAAAGCGGTTTGGCTCGGGCGAATCCAAGTTCTCATATTCCAAGTCCAGGCTGTCCAGATCCTGGCCATTGCTCTTCGCCCCATACACACTTATAAACGAGCTCTCGCTCAGGACGCTCAGGCGGGGGCTGTTCATTCCATCCAGTTCAGACGCCATGTCGTCCTTTCCGCCATTATCTTCTGATAGTCTGGGTAAACTCTGGTCACGGGGTATGTAAAGGCTGCGCAGAGCCTCCGTCTCCTCAGTTCGCTCAGACAGGAACGAGGGCATTCTCGCGAGCGACCTCGAATGCGATTCCTGTCGTCGGTGCCCTAAGGGGGTTATGTCGGAGTTGGCGCGATACCGGGGGTCGTCTGGAGGCGAGCTGCCCACGATCTGGCTATTTGTTCCGCTGTTTGTTCCACTGTTGATAGTGCTGTCGTCGCGGTCACTCAAGTAGAGACTTGTTGCTGCTTGGAGGGACCTGACTGCATTTCGTTCCTCCATGAGTTTGTCGACCTTCTCTTCAAGCTCGATTATGACGTTGACGGCCTGTTCAATGGCCACGTCCCGCTTAGCCAGCTCAGAAACCAATTGCTCGTTCATATCTTGAAGCTCATGTTGTTGCTTAACCTGCTCCTCTAAATCCTCCAGGCGCTCTTCGAGTTTCGATTGCTGCTCCTTTCGGTGGTGTAATTTGAGTTTGAGATCAAAGTTCTCATTTAGTAAAGCGGAAACTCTCTGAATAGCAAAGCACGTTAGTATCATATCCCACACGAGTTAGTTACAGGATCTGCCTCACATCTTCCGTAGCCTTGACACCCAATTTCTGCTTCCCATTCGCACGGTCAGCTCTCCGATCCGCCGACCCAGGTGCCTCCAATTCCTGATCGCGCCGCCGTGGGCCCGCTGGCGAACTCTGCGATCCCCGCTGCATATCCTGATACGCAGCGGCATCTCTGCTCTTCCTGCGCTCATGCAGCCTCGCCGCCTTCATCTCGCGGAGCTTCTCCTGTAGCAGGTCTCCGCCCTGTCCCTGTCCCTCTCTCCCACCTTGCTCTGCGGCATCATGCATCTTGCCTCGATCGCTGCGTATGTTTTGGATTCGGTGGTGGGGGAGGTTCGAAGAGGAGGTGTTGGAGCTTCCTGCTGTGCCGCGGGACTGGAGGGAGGCGCTGGACCCAGGTGGCCTTGTTCGCTCTGGTGTGGGATGGCGGTCGATCTCGCGGGTGTCCATGGTGTCGACTTTATGTTATGTTTGGTAGTGGGGCGCGGTGTGATGCGGTGCTCCCGGGATATCCTGTATGTGCCCAAGCAGGCGAGTGCTGTCCTTTCTTGTGCAGTATAATGCTAGAGCTGGAATTGTTGTTGTTGTTGTTTTTAGAAGAGAGCGTTGGAAACTGTCGTGTGACGTTGAAGTCAGTCTGTAGGTATCCAGAGGCTTAGATGCAAAGCCAGCCTGTTTGCGCGCCGTTGCAGGTTGAGATTGGCGAAGAGGTATAGGCTGAGACGAAACTGCACGTCTGGTTGTTTAAAGCACGGGGGTGGTCTTTTGTTTCTTTTCAGCTCCCTGGGTCGCAGTCGCCCTCCTTACATTGCGGATGTTTATGCTGGGCGATGGAGCACTGTGTAGGCAAGTCGACTCAAGGAGAGTAAGAATGTGAGACAGCGAGTTCCAGAATGCGTACAGGTGAGACGAGACTGGTAAACTGAGTAGTGGATTTAGAAGGAAGGACCTTTTCTTGAGAGCCGTTGGACGAGAAGGCGGGATGCACGACAGGTGGTATGCAGGTGAGGGAGGACTGGGTCAAAAAGGAGGGAGGTTGTTGCACTTCTTCCCCGTCAGCTGGATGTGCCACCGCCTTTACTGGATTCTGCTCTTTCTGGGCTGAGCCTTTTTTTACTCCTGAGCCCATCGGGATAAAAAAACCCAGGATCTCATTGAGCTGCCCGGGGGGTTGATCCACTACTCTGCCCAGCTTGCGAGTGCCAGCCCCATATACCGGGGGTACGGGGGTTATCGATAGACGACGCGGTCACAGATAGCACATAGCACATTTTAGTACGTGACTTCTCACCCATATTAATTTAGCCAAGTCACAGTAACCTTGGCCGCACAAACGGTTAGCCTAAGCAGGGTGTATACTGTACTCAAAGTAGATAGTATTAAGTATCCAATGCTGTATTAAGCAGGATAACTGACATAACATCCCCCTTGCAGCGTCGCAACTTCCTCTCTAAAAATCTAGTAAAAAGAGTGTGAAAAGGGGTTTCAAAGCGTGTGTGATTGCGCGTCTGGTTGGCTACACAACAGCACTATCCTTGAATTTTTGTATGGGCAATTTGGCAGGGGCAGGCACAGAACGGTACAAGGCGGTCAGGGAAGGGAAGACGGTTGGTTGGGCGCGGCCCTTGCCGATGCCCCGACGCGCTGCCACGGCCACTAATGCATCCCAGCCACCGCGAGCCAGGCCGCTGGGGATTGGGAGGGGAGTACGGGGGAAGGCACGGGGAGGACGGGGAGAACGGGAAAAGGGTGTGGAATGTGAGGGTGGGAGGACAAGGACAGGGCAAGGACAGAACAGGTACGGCGGCTCGGTGCGCGGTCTGGTATAACAGAGCACAGAGAAGGCACAGACTAGAGTTCGGAGAAAAAAAGAGGCATGGTGGTATGTGGTGTACGAGTATCAATAAAGATCTAATAGAGCGATGATGAGCGTCATGGTACGCAGAGACCACAGTACAGGAGAGTAACAGCTAACATTAGAGTATCCTCTACCGTGTTTCTCTAGCACCAAATATCCACAACTGACCACCAAGAAACCGGTAATCACGGTGCAACTGCCACCAAGATCGCTGTAGAAGACTCCTCCCCTCCCCACACTCCCAAGCCTACAAAGTATCTTCTATAGTGCTTACTATACTGAAACTACTTCTTCCCTCCTCCCCCCGATTTGTGACAGCACGTGCGAAAATCGCTGCATGCGGAAATGTGACCAAGTTAACCCCCATCCCATCCCTCTTGCTGAGAATTTTAGTATTAGCCTGTTTCATGTCCATCGATGGCGCCCTTCGTTGGCGTTGGCGGGGTCGTCATTTTCATAATTTCCAACACAGCCAACTCTCACCAACGTACAGAGGACTGACCCCTCGCGTCCGGGAAGGAGGTGTTACAATGATTCATTCCTCCGCCTGCCCTGTCCTGTCGCCTTCCTTCTCGTCCTGTGAGCTCCGTCCCGAACGTGTCTCGGCTGTACCTAGTGTTGCTCAGAGACATGGACGGCGCCTTAGGAGGAACTGCACTCTAGAAGGGCTGTGATGGAGGCAGGTGATGTGAAGGGGTATACCATAGAGACTGTTGTTCTAAACACGATAGACACTAGCGATTCCTCATTGCCTCTTGATAGGATGTGGCACGGTGCTTTGCCCCGTTGTTGACAGAGCCGAGAGCTTGTCTTAGATACTCTAATATGGTGTGGAGGACTAAGATATTGCCGTCTTAAACGCATTTGGCAGTCAGACATGGGGAGGCGAGGGCGATATTGATGATAAGATCAGCCACTGCCGCATGCAGCATGGAAACATATAATCGAGAAAGAAAATGGCTTGGTGAGAGAACACGATGAGCGACTCGACCTGTAGATAACTATTTCTAACCGTCTCTCCTGACGTCAACGTGAACCCCGCGTGCCTTCCCTCAGCTCGACCACGCGTCAACCGCGTCGACCATCGCCTTGTTTATGCCGTGCCATGCTAATTCCACAAACGCCATCATTCCTATCCCAAACGCCACTGCTAAGACACCACTCCACCTTTGCTACCGTGCCGCTTCCTGCACTTTATCCCCCGTATTTGGCGCCTCGTCAATGAACTGCGGCACCTCGTCGACCATGAAGCTTGGCGTGGCCTCGCTCTGTCCCAGCCCCTCAAACTCCATCTCATCGCCCAGCGCCTCCAGCTCAGCATCTAACTCCGCCTCATCCACATCCTCCGGAACATCATAACTCCGACTAATGCTCTCCTGGATATCATTCCCAATATCCATCAAATCCGCCATCTCATCCTGCATCCTCTCGATCTTATCGATATCAATCTTCCCATACTGCTGCTTCAAGCTCTTGTTGGTCTGCTTCATCACATCCACCGTCGTCATCACGTTCTTGAGGTTATCCGTCATCATCCCCGCCTGCTGCATGTTCCACGACTGCTGCTCCAACTGCTCGCGCTGGCCTTCGTACATCTTGCGCCGCTGCAGCACCTTGAGCGCCTTCTGCTTGATGGCGTTTTTGCCGGGGCCGTCGCGCATCTTGGATAGCTTGGCTTGGTAGGTCGAGAGCTCGGCGTTGATGCTGGCCAGCTTCACGTCGATGGAGGAGACGCGGTTGTCAACCTGGGAGGCGGGGTTAGTTGCGGTTTGGCAGGAGAGGGGGGAGGGAGGAGTGCGAACATTGCTGATTGCGCCGTCGAGCGTGGGCTTGGGACCCGTGCTCTTTGCGCCGAAGAGGCGGTTCATCGTGCTGTGAGCTGTGGCGGACACAGTGCGGGCAGAGTTGAAACAACGCTTTTGATTTGCCGCTTCTAGGCAAGGAATGAGTAAGTGAGTGAGTAGTGCCTCGTAGAGTAAAAGCGTAGACCAGCTGCTGGTATCAGCTTCAAAGGTAAAACAATTCCCTGGGTATCTATGTCGAAGCGTAGGGAACCTCAAATAGCACAGCTGCCTTGAGGGATATGGATGGCAAAGTTGTATCTCCGATATGAATAGCCCACCGTAGTTCTGTGCTCTTTCGTCATGCCTTGCTGTACTTGCCTTCCCGAACGTCCATTTCAGGTTTAGCGGCCTATTTCGGCGAGATTATCACGTGGATAGTGGAGTTGATGGCTGTACAGGTCATCCATGCCCTGGGCCTAAGGCTGGGCATCACGTTGTGTTGGGCAACGGAAGGGACAAAATAAACAGCTTAAACCACCACCAAGAATACCATTATTTAGCAGTTCTGAGAGCGAGAATCTCCTCTCTAGTCAGTATATTTCCCCTGCCCGTGTCTGATCTGCTTCCCAGGGATAAAGGGGGAATGCTAACCGTGAGGTTCGTTGCTTCTCACAGGCCAGAACCTTGGACAGGGATTTTGCCGGGAGAGATTCGCAACGACCACCACCACCACCACCAGCGACCGACCGCATCATAAACGTCGTGTTTCCCCCTTCTACCACGCTGCCTTCACGACCGCGAAAACACCCTCTCGTGCCCGCGCTCGAAAGCATCTTATCCTCCCCCTTCTCTCGCGACGACCATTTTCCGACTTTGTACTTATACTTTGTTTCTTGATGCCAATTACGATACCCAGTGCTGGTCTCCGCGCTCTGTAATTTCAGCTCGACCCAGAGATAGCGTGACCTTTACCAGAAAAGCTTGTTTCTGCACGACGATATCTTTCTCAAGAGTATATATTTTCTTATAGAATGTAAGCTGAACCGAGGCCCTATCCAAGTCCTAGACGCGGTGGAGTCACCTCACTCTCACCGCCGGGCAGCAGCGAACGAACGAGTTATTTCGTGTTGGGCCTGTTTGAATCCTTTGCCCGACAGCGCTGACAAGAGACCTTGTGCAGTCTTCTCGACGGCATCTTCTGCCATTTCACCTGTGATACCCGTACGAGCGTGAACGACCGCGGACCCCCATACGACCCTCTCCGAGCAAACGACTACCCGTATGAACAATTACCCGGCGCATCTAGTTTGCAACAACGGACCCGGACATCAGCCTTTGGACCCCCGCCAGCTGCGGCACGAAGAAGGACCCTCCTAGATCAAGATGTTCTGGCGATTTGGCGGATACGCCAACATCTCCGCCATCGACACCCTGCTCGAGAAGCCCGATGTGACGCTCGAGGAGCTGCTGGAGGAGAGCGACCTGATCCAGGAGCTCAAGTCGCACAACACCAAGCTCATCGAGTATCTACGCGAAGACGCGATTCTGCAGCGCCTGCTCGAATACGTCGTCGCGCCGAAGCTGGAGACTATCGCATCCGACTTATATGATATTGACGAAGACAACAATGACGACAAGGGCAAGGAGGCCGAGGAGCGGGCTCACTCGCTGACGCGGATGAGCTCCGAGGATGAGGAGGATGACAGGGAGAAGAAGCGAAACCGATACGCGTTCGTGGCGGCCGAGATCCTGGCGTCCGATTCGTGGTCGCTGTCAGCCGCGCTTTTGGAGAATGAGGCGCTCCTACGCAAGTTCTGGGAGTTCCTGGCTTGCCCGCCGCCGCTTGACCCTCTGCAAGCGGGATACTTTACGAAAGTTAATGAGGCTTTACTTGATAAGAAGACCGAGGAGATGTTGGAGCTGTTTAAGTCTATTCCTGACGTGGTGAAGAACATGCTTCAGCATGTTGATTCCCCGATGGTTATGGATTTACTGCTCAAAATCATCTCATTAGAGAAGGCCGAGGGCGGGCAAGGAATCGTAGACTGGCTGCATTCGCAAGACCTAATGCCGACTCTACTGTCATTTTTGTCGTCCGAGCATTCGTGGGCCACCCAAACATCAGCCGGAGACTTCCTCAAGGCTATTATTACCATATCCGCCAACGCGTCCCAGAATGAGCAGTCCTGTATTGGACCTAATGAGCTCACTCGCCAACTGGTCTCGCAACCCTGCGTCGAGAAGCTGATTACCGATATGCTCAAGGGCGGTAACCCGTTGACGGTTGGCGTTGGCATCGTGATCGAGGTTATCAGGAAGAACAACTCTGATTACGACCCTGAAGTTGGCACGGAATCGCAGATGGCCCCATCGAGTCGCGATCCTATTTACCTCGGAACGCTGCTTCGCATGTTTGCCAAGCACGTTCCTGATTTCATGGCTCTTATCCTCAGCCCTGACCACACAATTGGCAGCAATGACGGCCCTGTTACAATCAAGAGGAAGGAACTTAATGCTGCATTCGGCGGCAAGGTCGAGCCTCTCGGATTTGATAGGTTCAAGACTTGTGAGCTTATGGCGGAGTTGCTGCACTGTAGTAATATGGGTCTGCTCAATGAGCGTGGCAGCGAGGAGCTCGTCAGGGCCCGCGATGCGGAGCGCGAGAGACTGAGGGCAGAGGGAAAGCTGGCGCCCCCAGGGGACCGCTTCAACCTCGAGAGCGACGACCTTACTATGAGGTCCTCAGACACCAGCCGTCTTGGATCCCACTCTCCTGACGAAGGCCGCAGACTCGGAGTGCAGAACGCCTCTGACGATGACGGATTTGAAGAAGTGACACACTCCCAAGACCTCGGCGATGACGCTAAAGACGACTTTGACGAGAAGTTGGACGCAGAGGATGAGCTGCTCGCCAATATTAAGACGGAGAGCTTCCCCTCATTCTTGGATAAGGATGATGACGAGTTCGTCGATGAGCCGTTGAGCTCTCCTAGGCTCAACACTGAGGTGGAGGCCCTTCAGCCGGCTGGTGTGGATAGCTCGCTTACTGTCGCGCCACTTTCGCCAACAAAGGATTTGTCTGATAAGGTTAAGGACTTGGATGTGAGCGAGGAACCAAAGGATGCGGATGCCAAACCGCCGTCTTATGATGATCACGCGAAGGATGCTACTGTGTCTCCTGATGAGCAGGCCAAGGAAGCTTTGGACGCGGCTATTAGCAACCAGGTTGAACAAGAGGCAGCTGCTAAGGCCGAGGAAGCTGTTAAGACCGATGATGCTGTAGAGGCAACCTTTGAGGTCCCTGTTCGTTTGGAAACCACCGAAGACGTCCTGACACCTCACCCCGATGATCGTCCAGCGCCTTTGTTTTCCAAGAAGAGGACTGAAACCCCAGAAGCGGAAGCCCCTGTTGCGGAAACTCCTGTAGTGGAAGCTACTGTTGTGGAGGGAGAACCCCAATCCTCCGTTCAAGAAATTGCTTCCCAGGTCCCTATTCCAGAAGATGTTCCGGTGGCAGCTGATTTCAGCGGCACTGAGATCGAGGACTCTACTATGGTCGATGTTGACGGCACTATCCGGTTAGACAATGCGGACGATACAAACCCTATCGAGATCGAAGATGATTTCTCGTCGCCTGTGGTCGGAGACTATCTCAAGATGCAATTTGTTGAGCACAGGGTTGTGCCAACTATTTTGGTACGCACCCACACTATCTAGGGGAGAGCCAAGCTAACTCGTGCAATTATAGGATTTCTTCTTCAGGTTCCCATGGAACAATTTCCTGCACAATGTCGTTTACGATGTTGTACAGCAAGTCTTCAACGGACCCATGGACCGTGGATATAACCGCAACCTTGCCGTTGATCTCTTCGAGACCGGCGATATCACCAACAGAATCGTCGGGGGGCAGAACATGAGCGATGAAGCTCAACGATTAGAGCGCATGCGCTTAGGCTACATGGGCCACCTAACACTCATCGCAGAAGAGGTAGTGAAGTTCACCGAGCGCCACCCACCGGAGCTTCTGTCAGAGTTGGTCCTTGACAAGGTCCTCAACCTCGACTGGAACCACTACGTCGAGGTGACCCTCGCCGAAACAAGAGAGCGCGACAACGCCATCCTAGGCGGCGTCCGACCAGACCAGAACCTCGGACCCCGCCAAGCAGTAATGAACGCCGTCAACGCCGCCATCGGCGGCGGCTCATCCGCCCTCGCCGACGCCGGCCTAAACGGCAACTCGACCTTGGACGGAATGGACCTCTCCAACGGCAGCGGCACATCCGGCAGCGGCTTCGGCCTCGGCGGAGGATCCCTATTGAGCGGCTTCGGCAGCTCGAGCGACGAAGAGGACGAGGAGATGGACGAGGACATGAATGACGATGATGGAATGCGAGGCGCGAATGTTGGCGGAGCTGAAGTGGGTGTTTTCAATTCTGAGATTCTTTCCCTGCGTCGGCCCCATGACGATGATGATCTCGATTTCGAGTTGATGAATCACGAGCCGCCGCTCGCGTACGGGCCTTTGTTCCCGGAAGATTGAGGCGGCTCGGTGTTTTGTTTGATTCTCTGTATAAACTTTTTTTTTTTTGCTCGTTGAGCGATGGATGCGCCTGATAGAATGTCAGGCGTGCGCGGGGTTTATTGCTCTCGGTTTAGTCGCCGTGGTTTTTCGTAGATTCAAAGTGTTTCTACGTCAAGATGCTCCGTTTTCATTCTGAGTGCTCTCTTCAAGTGTGTGATTCATGTTCCGATTTTCATTTTACAATTTTCATACCTTCCAGTCATCGTCATCATTTATCTAGTCAGGCGGCCCAGATGCTCTTTCATATCATACCTCATCTCAGATTTAACAAAGCCATTTACTTACACTATCCCCCGCAGTTCTCCCGCTACATCTCCAACCCCTCAACCACAACCGCAACCTCCGAAACCACCGCCCCATCCGACATTGACCCCCCTGCCTTCGCTCCCCCTCCCCCACCACCCCTGAACATCGCCCCCTCCCGCGCCCGCCGCCAACTCGCCGCCCGCCTCGCTCTCCACCAGAAAGCGCAGGAGACGAGCAACGGCGACGACGCCACAGACAAGGACCCGGACGCCATTGAGGCGGCCGCGAACCCGAATCCCTTTGCTGACACGGACTCGGATGATGAGCTGACTATCGAGACTGTTTCTGGGTCGGCGGAGGTGTCGGCGTGGGATATGGAGGGTGATGAGGGGGGGAAGGTGGTTACTGAGGAGGGATTCGAGGATAATTTCGGTGATGGAGTTGATGCCGTGCGAGCGCTCCAGGTACCTGCTGACGCGTCTTCAAAGGCCGTTGGCGCAGAGGAAGTCGGCAATGGCGAGCCAGCTGCTGAAGGACAAGAGACGGACTCAGCGTCGCGGTCATCGAATTTCTCAGGGCTGTGGCCGTTTAACCACGCGAGTCGCGGACACCGAAGGCGCAGTGTAAGCGATAGATACGGCCGCAAGGAGGAGGGAAATGATTTCTTCGGCGGCAGCGATAGTGATAGCGATGAGGGCTTTGATGGGATTGGGGAGCGCGAGGCGAGTGGGGATTTTGATGGGAAGGGGAAGAGGCCGAGTGGGACGACGGAGGCGAGGAGGAGGACGAGCTTGGATGATGAGGAGGTTGTTGAGGTGGGGAGGGGGGAGGGAAGGGATGTGGGTGCTGTGGGAGGAGGGAGGGAGGGGGAGGATAAGCTGGCGTGACTGCGTTGGTGGGGTTGGGGTTGATGGAGGGGGGAGTGTGATTTGTATTATATGTCATGTTGTGTTAGATGTATGCTATCTGGATGTACAAATAGATGTGATTTTTACTTGCAGTGTGTGGCTTGTATTTTGCGCGTTTAGGCTTGATGTATTCGTTGGTTCGTCTTCTGGCATTCGTCTTCTTGAATTGAGGCTCTGTATTTAGAATATGCCATGAAAGTTAGCCTTCTAGGACGAAATATCAGTAATACATATAGCTAATTACAGATGATACTTCCGCTGCATGAAGCAGATATGCACCAAATTAGACTCTAGAGGGCGAATGCCATCTTCTACATTCAGTTCCCTTAAAGCATGTGCTCCTTCGGGTCAAGGGAAGGATATGCCTCACCACTGGCAAAATAAGCCAGAAACCTCTAGGTCTATAGAAAGGGGTATAAATACCATAACATACTGCTTTGGAATGCTACAAGTGAATGTTTATCTTCATGACATCGCAATTGTTCCTCTCGAATCACACGCAATGCAGCTATACAAAGCAGACTTCAGGAAAATACTTGACATTTGGTATTGCTGTTTAGCCAGCTACTATGTATACACCACACCCCCATCCCAAACGCGCAAACCAATCTAAGCCGTCCAGATCTTCTTGATCGCCTCCGTAACACCAATATCGTTGGTCTCGAACTCGTAAAGTCCAACACCCACCGCCACCGTCGCGGCCCTCAGCACCCATCCCAGAGCCTTCTTGGTCTTCGGCACGCGCCTGGCGGGGAAGTAGTCGACGATCATGGCGTCGAAGCCGATATGTGAGTGGACGAGGACGGCACCGCAGATGATGGCGTCAGTGGCAGGGTTGAGGGAGCCAGCGACGAAGGGCGCGATGGTGAGGGGGATGAGACCGGCGGCGATGAGACGCTCGAAGGTCCAGTGGTAGGAGCCCTCGGAGGCGTTTGTCGGGGGCACAACGGCGGCGTCGTTTGCTGCTACAATTAGTATTGCTGTTGGTGTTGTTGTGTTCCGTGGGAGGATATCATACCAGTTCCGTCAATGACCTCTGTGACTTCTGTTAGCGATGCGTTCTAAGGATTGGGGCAACTGAGTAGACATACGGGGACCTGCAGGGAGAATCTGCTGGCGGCCACCGGCGTGGAAGGCAGCTACTCGGACATTGCCAGGCGCGAATGCGCTCTTGATGGCCTGTCGTGCTGGTGCGGGTCGTGTCGGCTGGGACAGGATGGCCGGGAAGGACGACGAGACCTTGGTTGTGTATGCGCGCTTCGAGGCAGCGGCCAGGCAAGATTGCCTCAGCACCGTAGGACGAATAATTGAAGCCATTGCCAAAACTCCCGGTGAGTGTACAGGCGTGGAATTGGTGATGCAGGGCAAAAGTGAGGTTCGGTGGTCGAGCATACTCGGAATCCTGTGACATAGCCGAGGAGAGAGCCGCTTAGCTCAGATACTATATCGACGCTCTGATTGGCCGAATCAGATTTCAAGCCTGAGCGAATCTAAAATCCCGACTACCACCGGTCCTCTACCATTGACGACGACTTGTGCTGATTGCGTTCACTGAGCCTCCTCTCTTCGCATTTTCCTTATACCCTCATTGAACACCTTCACATACAGCTGCCATGGCGTCCCGGCGGTTAGCACTTAACCTCACCCAGGGCCTCAGCAAGCGTGCTGCGTTCAACGCCCCCGTGAGGAGAGGTTTTGCAACTCCAGTCACCACGAAGAATGGCGTCGCCACGGAGTGCACAACTCTCTCCAATGGCATGACGGTATGCGCGCATCGAGACGATGGAAGCTGTGAGATTCAATGGACTGACGGAGACACGTAGATTGCCACTGAGCACTCGCCATGGGCACAGACTTCGACTGTTGGTGTTTGGATTGATGCCGGATCTCGGGCGGAAACGGACAAGACCAATGGCACAGCACACTTCTTGGAGCATCTCGCATTCAAGGTAAATAGTCATGGAGAAGCTGGGAAAAGCTTTTGGGGATGGATGGATATTGATTTGATGAATAGGGAACCTCCAACCGCACACAACAGCAGCTTGAGCTCGAAATCGAGAACATGGGTGGACACCTGAACGCCTACACATCTGTATGTTTTGACATCAGCAATGACATCAGCAATGATATACTAGACAGCATGCTAATCTACAACAGCGCGAGAACACTGTCTACTACGCAAAGGCCTTCAACGCCGATGTGCCCGCGACCGTCAACATTCTCTCCGATATCCTTCAAAACTCCAAGCTCGAGAAGTCCGCTATCGAGCGTGAGCGCGATGTTATCCTCAGAGAGTCTGAGGAGGTTGACAAGCAGCTCGAGGAGGTTGTCTTCGACCACCTTCACGCCACCGCCTTCCAGGGACAGCCGCTCGGCCGCACCATCCTTGGCCCGGCAGAGAACATCCAGAGCATCCAAAGGGAGGATCTCGTTGACTACATCAAGACCAACTACACTGCCGACCGCATGGTCCTCGTCGGTGCTGGTGGTGTCCCCCACGCTCAGCTCGTCGAGCTTGCTGAGAAGCACTTCGCCGGTCTCCCATCTGGGCCAATTTCCCAGGCGTCCGCTGCCGTTGCCCAGCTCCAGAAGCGCAAGCCTGAGTTCGTCGGCTCGGAAGTCCGCATCCGTGATGACACCATCCCAACTGCCAACATTGCCATTGCCGTCGAGGGTGTCTCCTGGAAGGATGAGGACTACTTCACTGCTCTCGTTACCCAGGCTATTGTCGGTAACTGGGACAAGGCCATGGGCAACGCTCCTCACATGGGCAGCAAGCTCAGCGGCTTTGTTCACAAGAACGACCTGGCCAACAGCTTCATGAGCTTTTCCACCTCGTACAGCGACACTGGGTATGTTACACTGTAGCCTTCGTTTATATATGTAGCTAACATGTCTAGTCTGTGGGGTATCTACCTTGTCTCCGACAACCTGACCCGCTTGGACGACCTGGTTCACTTCACTCTCCGTGAGTGGTCTCGCCTGTCGTACAACGTCACCGAGGCCGAGGTCGAGCGCGCCAAGGCTCAGCTCAAGGCTTCCATCCTCCTCTCCCTTGACGGCACCACCGCCGTCGCCGAGGACATCGGCCGCCAGATCATCACCTCTGGCCGCCGCATGGGCCCCGAGGAGGTCGAGCGTGTCGTCAGCAAGATCACTGAGAAGGACATCATGGACTTCGCACAGAGGAAGCTCTGGGATCAGGATATCGCCATTAGCGCTGTTGGCTCGATCGAAGGCCTCTTAGATTACAACAGGATCCGTGGAGATATGTCGAGGAACGCATAAGAATTGTAATTAAAAGAGCTAGAAGATTGGATGGGGCGGGCGGCTAGGGTGTTGAACTTGGATTCGAGATTGGTGGTAGCGGGCGGCTGCAGCCGTGGTGGGTTGCGAGAAGCGGGAGCTGGGATTCATAGAGTGTATGATGAGAGTTGCCGCTAAGATGTTTTGTACACATATAGATTCGATCAAGGTTTTGTCAATACAGTGTAACCTCTCTTTGCATATTGTGTCTGGGACGGAAGTAGCCGCGTGGTATGGAATGTGAGAAACTAACAACGAGTCTACTCTAGATATTTCGTGCCCATATCTGATTTTCTGACAGAAACAGCTGCGATAATAAAATATCTCAGCAGCCAACAGATTATTTCAAGGCGTAGAGCACTATCGTCAGGTTACATGCATGAGTCTTGTTCAATAATGGAACGCGGGATCCATCTTTGCACAAGTAACAAAATGCAGACCGATCCACTTGCCTTGAACATCCGACTCTTACTCCTAGTGTTATGAAGCTATATGAAGCTACTGCATTAAAACATAATATCCAGTGCCTTTAGAAATAAGGCGCAATGACAACGCACAAGTTGCCACGACAGATCAACCAAGAGCACGGCGGAGCGGGCCCAGAGCACTACAGTCGGACCTAGATGGGAATACAAACATCGCGAACGTGCTAAACCTAAGGATTGAAGGTGGAACCATGTAATATATCCGTAGAGGAGCATGTTTAACTGGCTCATGAACTTAGAGCGGCAATGAGTGCCACCTTGGTTGATAGCTTCAATATGTATATGGATGTGTTACGGCAGTGCAGAGTCCCTACATACTACCACACCAGGATTGCTCTGTGTTATGGACATATTGAGAAGATATGGATAAAATAGCAATTAATTAAGTGATAACATTATACTATGATAGTGATTGTTCCGAGTTGCAGCAACGAACATCCCGGACCCATGCCAAGTGAAAACCGTTTTCCAGCCGTTTCTCCCCCTGAATGAGCCCCTTGCTTAACAAAAAATCCAACTTACCCTCCCCCTCGGCTTTTTTCAGCCTCATGCAGTCCCGTTTTTTATTTAATGTCACACAGCCTATACATCTCCGTCCTGCTTTGCTGTAGTAGGCCTCTTCTCCTCATTGCTTGTCCCCACTACCCCCGCCCCTCGTAATGCCACAGCACCAAGTAAGCACGCCACCACCATGGCGCCGAAACACATGTAGAACACGGCCCGATATCCTAACCACATTGCATCTTGACTCCCTTTTTGTCCTCCCTGGGACCCGCGCGCGGCCACGACTCCGGCAAGTGCCAGCCCGAAGGCACCTCCGAGCTGCTGGGCAGTGTTGGACATAGCGCCTGCGAGAGCCTGTGTCTCTTTTGGGAAAGCATCAGTGATGACAAGGTTGGCGATTGTGAAGACAACTGTTCAGAGATGTTAGTTATTGCCTTTTGTTTACGTGGAAACTCAGCACCAGTGATAAGCTGGTTGTGAAGGAGACGATGCTTGGAGACGGGGAGAGAATTATTTACCTCCTGCAGATACCGGGCTCAGTAGCACAGCCCAGAAACTACATAGCCAGTAGTTCCAGGCGGGGTTGATAACACACAGAAGCAATGGGGAGAGAATTCCAAAAACGTTCGCAGCAAAGACGAGATAGTAGCTGCTGACACGGCAGGCGAGGAACCCCGTGAGCAGATTGAGGGCGATACCAGCAATGACATTTGGGAGGAGGAGAACTGCAGCTTTCAGAGCACTAAAATGTTGGATATTTTGTAAACTAACAAGAAAAAGAGTTGTTAGTTTGATCTCGTATTAGCACGAAGATAACAGAGGAAACTTACAAGAGACTGAGGAACAGCCTCATACATTGAAGGGTGGCCCATATAAGAACTACCATAAGACACATGCATGTGAAAGCTTTATTACGCCACATTGAATTCGGGACCAGTGCTGGGCGTCCATGCTTCTCCTGTAAATTCATCCAGAAGGCAAACATGGGTATGAGAAGTGCAGCGAGGCAAAGAAGAACTATATTGGCCGGATGTTCTATCGCTTCGAGATCCCCCGAAATGGCTCTGCGCAGAGCGTGTTAGCATGTGCCCTAGATGGAATGAACATAGACGGGACAAGAGAAACTTACGCAAAAACGTATGAGAGAGTGCCGAAGCACGTACTCGAGATAGTAAGACCTACCCAATCTACACTGCGGTAGAAGCTGCTCCATGATGACGACTCTTTCCTCCTATCGTTGGGGAGCGACCAGATGTTAACCAATCCAAGGAGAATAGTCAGTGCTGCCGTGATATAAATTGCAAGTCGCCATCCAGGCCGTGACCCTTCACAGATACCTCCGACTAACAGACCTAGAAACCATCCGAGTGGTTGTCCCAGGCCTAGACATGCGAAAGCGATGTTTCTCTTTCTTCCCATAGGGATTGTCTTTGATATTATACTAAAGGCAGTTGGCAGGCACATCGCGGCGCCGATACCTTGTAGCCCACGGAAGGCGGTCAGTTGGAGACCTGTTTGTGAGAGGCCGGCAGCTAGGACGAATGATCCTGCAAAGAAACAGCCGAAAATGTTCATGTTGCGGTTGCCAATGTGGTCCGCTATCGAGCCAGCGAGGAAGAGGAAGCAGCCATTGGTAAGGCTGAAGGATTTCTTAGTTATTGTAGTATACTATTCACTGCAATACTTACGAGTACATTGATTGAGGCCTATAATAAAACTGTCAGTAACAGTTTCTTAGGAGCTACCAGATAATGGAAGAAGTTATGTACAATTATGCGACCGGACGTGTTGGACATTACAATAGCTTCAGAGGTGAAGCACGAAGGCACCAAGAGATAGTTGAAGAAGATATTATTGCTTACCATAGTAAAAACTGAGCGGTAAGATTCATATCTTTAGCCATAGCTGGCAAGGCAATAGTAAACGCACCAACACTCATACTGGTTGTAAGAGTGATCCCCGAAAGTGTGATAATAATAATACTGGTTCGCCATGGTGATAACTCATTGCTTGGCTTGTCCGGCTCATCAGGGACCAAGGTCCCTCCCTCTGAGGGACTCGTAGCAGTTGCAAATGCACCCATGGATACAACGCTCTCGGTCTTTGGGGGCGGGAAATCCTCAACTTCGGTAGTAGTTACAGTAATACGGCCCCTTTTCTCGTCATCCAGATAACCCGGGGGGGGACCGGGATTTGTCATTTTCAAGGCAAGAAAGTGTTCCTAGCCAATATAAGTGTAAACCAAGATCTTGAAGTAGTATTTAATAACTTATGGCTGAAGATATTGTGGCAAGAGCGTGCGAATGGTGTCGATATTTCTCCAGGAAATGTCGATGGAATTATGGCCATGGAACGAGCATTCGAGCTATATATGAAGACCAAGACCAGAAAACTACCAACATGCTTCTTGAATATGACCCCCCCCCCCGCACGGCAGGGAGTTTTACACCTTAGGATAAACACATGCTAGTAAATCGGCGATCGGACTATGCTGGACAGCCCCCTTTCACAGCAAAAAGACGTTGTCCCGTCGTCCCATTGCTGATCGGCCCGCCCCCCACAGGGATCAACAATGGAGTCAGAGAATGCATCGACGGCCTTGCTTGCTGTTGTATCCGCGTAGCTTGATGCATATTGATGTATGTGGCCGGTCGTCTCCAAGAACTGATACCATAAAAGCCCAGTTTAGTCTAGGTTGAATTGACCTTCTCTTCCGGTGTTATACAGGTTAGCACGAAATTTTTGAACCGTTGGATAGAATTACACTGTTTAATCCAAAAGAATGATGCAGAGAGGGGGGCTGCCGCAGATGTGAGACTTCGTGGACGCGCGGAGGTCTTAGATGTCTTATATCGGAAGAGATATCTCGAGATGTCCTGGACCTAGATCTGATAGAACGAGGAATGCAGATCGGGTACTTGGGATGCATTTCCTATTGGTAGTTTAGGAAGGGAGACGTGGCATTGCTGGGCGCAGCAGAGATAAGCCGACGGGAGGGGCGGCGCCATGAAGCTTAATCCACTTGATGTATCATATATTGTGCAGGGGAGTCTTACCGCCCCAACGTCAATTTAGAGTGGTATATAGTTTTTATCCGTATAATCCGCTGTAACAGATCACCATTCCACGTTCTCGGTGGTATTTATTTCAACAAGGGACTGTTCGGCTCAACCGGAGTGTTAGTTAGGCGGGCCCTAATTTTACTCTTCATCTCCTTGCTTCAATCAGTTTTGATACCATAGATTCGTGCGACAGGAATCACATATCATAACATATCTCCGGCTCAACCAACGTCTTTCTATCCATTGTCTCCTCATAATGATATATTGGCGACGACGAATCACCATCGGGACTGTCTCACTGTTAGCGGGTTATTGGACTTTTGGACAACTTGATTTTATGTTGTTAGACTCGAAGGCGTGTAACATCGTGCGATCCACCTGGAATCCACCTGTCTACCAGTATTTTCAGTCCTCTGTCGACATATTTAACCCCGCATTCCATTCCATGCCGACGGGTTCTACGGCGTATAATTCGTGTCCTACGGGTTCAATCTGGCCTCTGGTTGGCAGGAAAGCTTAGAATGCTCGAGGCTACCAGAAATAACAAGTGTCACGTTCAATTATCTTCCAGCTAACGTAGGAATTGTGTACCTTCTATACAAGAAATAATACTAGATTACCAAACCCATGCTGCCCAACATAGCTCCTACTCCTCCTGTTTGTAGTAACCCGTAGCCAAGAAAGGCATCTTCGCAACCTCTGCCTTCCTCGCCTTCCCCCTGACGACAACCTCAACTGGCGTCCCCGACTTGTGCAACCCCTCCTGAATATACCCCATCGCGATATTCTTCTGCAAGCACGGACTTGGGCATCCGCTCGTGACGACGCCCACATCCTTTCCGTCCACCCTGATCACCGCGCCCTCGCGGGCCGGCGGGCCTTGCACGATGAGTCCGACCCGGCGGCGCTCGATACCTTTTCCACCTTTGGCCTTCGGCTTCAGCTGGGGCAAGATCGTCTCTGCGCCGAGGAATCCGCCCTCTGCTCTCCTCCTCTTGCCGATGATCCAGCTCATGCCAGCCTCGACGGGTGTGATGGTCTCGTTCAGGTCGTGGCCATACAGACACATACCAGCCTCCAACCTCAAGCTGTCTCTAGCTCCGAGGCCAGCCAGCTGTACCATCTCGGGACCGCCAGCCTCGAGGATCATCTCCGTAACCCTCTCCGTCTCCTGCGCGGGGATCGAGATCTCAAATCCATCCTCTCCCGTATACCCACCCCTGCTAACCAACAACAAGCTGCTCTGGAACGGCAGCTCCTCGCCCACCTTGGCAGTGCGGAGCTTCATATACCTGCTCTGTCCAAAATACAAGTTCGACAAGCGCCCATCGCGCGCCGGGTCAGCAACAAGCTTGCTGAGAATTTCCTTCGCCTTCGGGCCCTGCAGAGCAATCAGCCCCTTGCCCTCCAGCACCGTCCACTCGACCTCAGAGCTGTTCTCGAGACGGAAAGTCTTGAGATGCTCCTTGAGGTACTTCAAGTCCTTCTCGCGACACCCCGCATTGGTAACAACGTAGAAGCGATCATCCCACAGCTTCGTGATGATCAAATCGTCCACAATGCCCCCCGTCGGTAGGAGGAGCGTGCTAAGCGTGCTCCCGTGCACGGGTAGCCCAGCGACGTCGCTGGGGGTGATGCTCTCGAGGAAGGCCGCCGCACCGGGGCCGGTGAAGTGGTGCTGCACCATGTGGGAGACGTCGAAGAGGGAGGCGCCCGTGCGGGTAAAGTTGTGGGAGTCGAGGACGGAGAGGGAGGAGTACTGGACGGGCATGGCGTAGCCGCCGAAAGGGACCATTTTGCCGCCGTTGCGGACGTGGAAGTCGTAGAGGGGGGTTTTGGAGAGCTCCTCTTCGGGAGCTGCAGAGGAGGAGGCATGGCGAGTGGTTTGGAGGGGGTTTGCTGGGACTGAGACGGTGGGTTTGAGAATATGACGCTGGGAGGTGCGTGTTGAAATGTTGCGGCGCGTGGCTGCGGTGATCAGACCGGAGGAGCGCGGGAGGGCATTGCGCGCTGCAATGACATCCTTGAGATAGCGAGTAGAGCGGAGAGACTTCATCTTGAAAATTGACCTGTTTGAAGTTGTGGTGGTGGGAGGAGGAACTCGGGGAGTTTGTAGTCGGGGACAGCAACCTTTTATGTGGGGTGTTCGTTATCGGGAGCTCAAGTCCGGATAAGGTGGTGGGCGAAGTCCGAGTCCACATGTCATGTCAAGCAAAAAATCTGGGCTCTGGACTGGGCTGGGCTACGAACAAGTTTAAAGAATATGGGGGAGACGGCAGATAGCACAAATCCCATTTGCGTTCAATTCCTATCAAGTGTATAATATGAATGCTATACCGCGTGGAATCTGTAAGAAAATCGGAAAGCTTCCCCATGGCTCTGTATCGCCTCTATGCAAACCCCCACCAAAACCACGAAGCGATGATAGTACAAGGTCTCTAGCACCAACTGCTCGCCACATATTCCCCAACTATCTTCAAATACGACACTCTACTTCGTCTCGAAGCTATATCTCAGCCACTCCCCCACAGCCCTCAAACTCTCCCATCTCACGCTCTCATCCGGCTCAGCCATCAGCTCCATAATCCTGGTCTTCAACCCCAGCCTCTCCAGCTGTTGCCTCTTCTCGGGCACCTCCTTGACCAAACACCCAACATCGTTACACACAATAGCAAGAACCTGCTTGTCATTATCCCAAGGCTTGGCAATAATCTCAGCCAGCTTCTTTGGCAGGTGTCCGTTGTCATGCTCGAGGATCCTGCGTGCGTTTTCGGCCCAGAAGACCGTGTTCCTGTGCGGTGGCGACCAGCGCAAGTGGCCGGAATCCACCTCTGCCGCGTACTGGTCAAAGGTCGTTTGCGTCTTGGTGTGCTCTTCGAGCAGCTCAGATAGGGCTGTCAGGTCCTCAATCAGATCCGGATCGGTAAGATGGCGTCCGTTTACGTTTTGAAGAAGTGCAGGTAGTCGTACAAGCGCTGCCGCAGGAAGGAGGGACTTTGGGTTCCCTGAGATCAGGTTGTAAAGTGTAGAAACTAACAAACGTGTCGTTTTCTCCTTAGGCGATAGCCGTAGTAGCTGTGTGAAAAGAGGGATAACATCGTACTCGCTATAACTCGTAAGTATTTAACCAGGAAGTAAAAGGAAGGGACAACATACTCCTCAAGCCCATCTCCAATAGCAGCACCCTCAAAGCTCAGTTGCCACATGACCAGCAGCACATGATAAAGCAACTGCAAATCAATCCCACCATTTATAAAGCCCTCCGCCCCAGTCCTCGAAGTCGCACTGGTGCTCCACAACGACGCCGCACTCTCTCCACTCGCCGACACCCCCGCCGCAGTCCTCAGGATCGAAATGAGCGGCACAATAGTCACATCTCTGTGCTCCCAAAACAGCTCCCTCGACCGCCTGCTCCTGAGGAGCGCCGAGTACCCCATCACCGCGATGTCCTGGAGTCCGCTATCCGAGCTCTTAGCGAGAGTGCTTAGGTATTTGTATAAGATAGGTAGGGCCTGGTCGCTCGCCGACCTGCCCTTGGGGTTCGTAGTCGATTCCCTGGCTAGGAGGGTCGTGAGTGCTGTCGAAGTTAAGAGCGGGATAGCTTCTTCCGGGCTCGAGGCCTGTGCCAAAAGCGGCAAGAATGGCGCATAGGTATTCTCATGCTCCAGAAGTCCATCTACCAAAGCTGGGCTGCCTGTATACCGATTAGCCTCCATCACATAACAGCAAATACTCCGCACCAAGGTCCTCATCCCCCACCAGCAAAAGAGCGAAAAGTTAACATACCCTCGAGCAGATCGCCCAAAAGCACTAAGACATACTGCACCACATCCGCCCTTCTCGCCGCTGCCTCGAGAATACTCCTCGCACCTCCCTCGTCACCGCCTAAAAACAGTGTCCTATACGCATCAAGCCCATCCTCCACCGTCCGCTTCCTCTGCTCCTTCCTGACCTTGTCCACGGCGCGGATGCGGGTCAATTGCTCCTCTGTAATAGTACCCGCGCGCACTGCGCCATCCCATGGGATTGGGCGGGCACGGATGTTGTTCCGCAGCGAGGAGAGGTAGGTTGGCGGGTCGAGAGACATGTCGAGGCTGTGGTTGTGAGGTTGTTGGATGGGTGATGGTTGACTGTGTCAGTCTGGAGAGGAGCGCCGAAACGGGGCTGTGAAGTTGGTGATAGGTTGGTTGGGAGTGCCTTATCGAGAGCTTGGAGCTGGTCGAACTAAAAGCTTGGGCCGTGCACCTGGAGGGTACAGACGCCAAGGTTGTATGCGATATCACGTGCAGGCCAACGACTTGGTTAAACTATTTACAAAGTCCCTTCTTCGTAATTAAAAATGAAACTGTCACCGTTGGCAATATGTGGGCATAGAAGTTGTTTTGAACGGAGGGAAATGTGCCCTTAATATTCTGTCCATGTCGGACCTAGTCATCAAACCCGCCAAAGTCACTCCCACCATCACTCTCAGCACCAGCTTCATTGCCCTTCTCCATCTCTGCTCTCCTTCGGCTGCCCATAACGGCCCCCTTCTTCCTATTCTCAACCTTCCTCTCATACCCACTCTTGGTACTAATCTTCGCCTTCGCTCCTCCCTTGCCACCGTCCTTCTCGAGTCCCGCCCTCCTGACCTCCACTCCCCGCATCTTCAAATCCTTCTTATCCTTCTTGCTCACGCTTGGAAGCGCATCCAGTAACCACTTCTGCACACCCTCACCCTCCTTCTTGCCTGCAGCCTTCTCACTTGCTGCGATAATATTCGCAATTGGCTTCACAAACGGAATATCCTCCTTCGTATAAAACGTAACTGCAACCCCTCCATCGCGTCCCGCGCGCCCTGTCCTTCCAACTCTGTGGATATAACTAGCCCCTGAACTCGGAACATCGTAGTTAACAACACCGTTGATGCCGCGGAAGTCCACGCCACGACTCAGAATGTCCGTCGTGATAAGGATCCAGATCTCGCCGTTGCGGAAGCGCGACATGATCGCGCTGCGCGCAGAGTCCGACAGATCAGAGTGCAGCACCGCGAGGCGCGAGCTTCCACCTGCTTCGGCGGGAATGTCGTAGAGTAGCTCCGAGTGCAGGGCAATGGCGCGAGGAATGGTCTGGGTGAAGACGAGGAAGGGGGGGCGGAGTTTGGGGTCGGATGGCGAGGCGAGGCAGGGGGAGGTGGGGTGCAGGAGTTGACGAAGGCCAATGAGCTTGCCAGGTTCGGTGGCTGCGTATATTAGGTGGTGTGTTATGTTGGGGATCGCGGAGTCTTTGAGGCCAATGACGAGGCGGATGAGAGGTTGTGCGGGGAGCGAGAGTCGCTCACGGCGGGAGGAGATTGTGGAGACTGCGAGGGTTTCGATAGAGGATCCCATGGTGGCAGACCAGAGGGATACGTGCAGGAGAGGGGAGACACAGGATTCCCAGATTCCGAGTGTTTGGTCACGGAACAGTGGGTCCAAGAGGACATCTGCTTCGTCAAGAATCAGATGGCGCACTGTTTCCAGGGGCAGTTTATCCTTTGAGCCGGGCTTCGTGAGTGCGTGGAGGAGTATGAGAGGAGTTGTAACGAGAATATCAGCTTTAGCAACAGGCTGCGCTGCTCGCTTTGCTGCTTTGGCATTTGCCTTTGCCGCATCGGCCTCATCATCTTCCTCGCTCTCGTTCTCGCTTTCACTTTCGCTAGCATCTTCTTTTGGCGCACTGACAACTTGGTCACTGTCACCAACTACTCGCATGCCCTTTACCATCCCGACAACTTTAATGCCAGTCCCAATAGCCAACTTCCTTCCCTCATTCACAATCTGGCTTGCCAGCTCCTTCGTAGGCGCAACAATAATTGCCTCCAGCCTGTGTGATACCTCTGCCTCCTTCCGCCGTCTTTGTACCATGCTGTTGACCACTGGGATCAAGAAAGCGAGTGTCTTTCCACTGCCCGTAGGGGCAACGGTCAATAGATCCACCTCAGAACCCTCAGCCACCGTCTCCTTCCCCTCCTCCGAGTTGGTGAGCGCAAACTCGGGCTTCAGCAGCAGAGGAAGACTGCCCATCTGCACCTCCGTAGGAATCTTGTACCCCTCGCGCTTCAGATTCTCCCCCAGGCGCTTAGAGATGCCAAAGTTCGTTTTCAGGTCCTCGAACGCCGTCAGAGGCTGTGGGTATATTTGCTTATGCTCATCCTTCGCCTTCTTTGGCGGCTCCTCCTCCTTGCGCTTCTTGGACTTCTTGCGCTTCACGACCGGCTCCGGTTTGGACATCAGGGTGATTTTTATTCTGTGGGAGCGCAGCGTCGCTTTGCATTCGTCTTCGTCGAGTAGCGTCGGTTCGATCGTCTCGGTCTTGTCGCTCAGCGCAGCCTCTGCTAAAATCTGGGCCGCCTTCTTCCTTTTCTCCCGCTTGATTGTCTGCTTGCTCTCGGTCTTTGGCGCCTGCGCGAAGAAGTTTATTTCTTCATCGTCCACATCGCTCAGGACAGCCTCCTCTTTCCTATCACTAAGCTTGCGCTTCTTGTTTTGCGGGACCGGGTCATTGTAGAGTTGCGGGTTGCTCGCGGTGCCTGCGGATGGCAAAGTAGAGGACTGGGTCCTGCCAATCGGCTTTCGGGTCTGCTTGGTAGACCGCGAAAGGATCTTGAAGATATCCATCCTTTCTAGCTTGAGCGGTAGATTGGAATATCGAATCTGGTGTTCCTTGGTGGGTTATGTGAGAGCTGTGAGGTTTGGGAACTTTTTTCGGTCAAAGCTTTTTATCTGTCAGCCTCGCCTACACACTCGGCCTCGTGCCTCAAACGCAAAATATAAAAATGGCAGCCGCGTCGTAATCGAGGTAGTTTAAGCCTAATGAACTAATTTCTGGTCTGGCTATAAATCCGTAGAGCCTATGAATATTTCCTACTCGTATTAATTCTATTATTTCTGTAAATAAACCCAATTCTCCGTGGTCAAGACGCGTTCACAAGTTCCATCTGTCCGATATTCGCAATTTGCTACGATTTATATTCGCCAGAAGGCTACATCTAGAGGCTATAGCATTACGATAATTCAATTGTCTTTTAGTGTACAATGACGCAAGAAAAATGGCCGCAGAGTATGTGCAATGCTGAGCCCGATGTCTCCCATCTATCGTTCCATCCTTTCTTCCCTCCCCTCTCCAACGTAAAAACAGACATCTTCCATCTCTACCACTGCCTTCTAAACACCCAAACCAACGCAGACTCAAGAGTACATATCAAGAGCCTCCTAATGGCTTGCACCAGTATCTCCCCTGTATCCGATAAGCTTCATCCTGCCGATCATCTCTCCGACGGTGAAGAAGCCGAGGACCTCAGCGAAGATGACAGCTCCAGAGGCGATCTGGGCGCAGCTGATGTTGCGGACGGAGTTCACGGACGCGTTAGGGAAGAACGCAGATGGGTTTCTGCTGTTCTTGACGACTTGCTGGAAGGCGGATTGGAAAGTTGCGAGAGGTCTGTCACCTCTCCTGTTAGTTTCACTGCCTTTATTTCTTTCTACGTGCGACATATTCGAAGGATTGGACAGTACTTACGGTGGTGCCATCTTTTGCGCCTGGAAAACGAGCTTGGAGAGTTCCAGGCCGACGCGGGCGTAGTAGATGGTTGGAGGAATTTGTCCTAAAAAGTGCATTGTCAGCCATTGAACCATCAAAATCCATCAACAGCAGTTTCTACACTGCCTCGACTGATAAACATACTCTCGACGAAAGCAATAAGCCTTCCTGTGCGGCCACCAATCTTCCCGAGGGTGTTACCCAGGCCCTTCACGGCACCGCTAATAGCCGGTCCAGCAGAGGCAGAGACCCTCGACAGACCCTCAGAAGCCTTCGACTGGAAGTTCTGTGCCTGCTCGGTCGCCTTGGACGCGGTGTCCTTTGCGGCCTCGGTGGCTTTAGCAGTCGTGGATTCGCATCGGCGACCGTTGCGGACGGTGAACTTGGCCGATTGCCGGAGCACGGCGCGAGACGCTGACAACGACATTATATCCTGATATGGCCGGGAGATTCGGGGGATGGACTCTCGGGGTACCCGTGGTGTGCTGAGCGGGCAATTGAGTGATGGGTTGATGTCGCAGAGCAATTTTCAGGTTGTTTTCGCTATGGATCGGAGCTCTACGGCTTCCAAGATTTGGCTTAGTCATCCGGAATTTCATGAGCGAGATTGGAAACCGCACCAGTTCCACTCCTCAAATATTTAATTCAACATGGAAATGTTCTGAAGTGGTACATTCGGCATTATTTGCAATTACTATGGAATAATCATAAACATGGCTTTATCTACTCATATACATCCTTGTGCCCGTCCAACTCACTCGCTCTGAATCACAACCTTGATAGCGCCAGTCTTCGGGTCTGCAGCAGTCTCGAACGCGTTAACTGCATCCTCGAGGGCATAACGGTGGGTGACAAGCTTCTTCATGTCGATCAAGCCAGCTTGAACCAACCGAATGGCCCGCGGCCATGTGTTGCAGTACCGGTATTGGAACTGTAGGTCGACTTCCCGGGTACTTAATCTCATGAACGGAATGTTCATCTCGTTCTTTCCAACACCAATCACGAAGACCTTTCCTCCGAACTTCACGGCCCAGATGGCTGCGGATATGCTGCTCTCGACACCTGTGCACTCCAAGGCATATGCGGGCTCAATACCACCGAACGCAGTTACGATAGCCTTGGCCGAATCCTCAGCAGACACACGCTCAACCTTGAACGTGGTCACCGATGGAACGAGCTCCTTTGCGAACTTCAGGCGGCTCTCATCGATATCCGTAATAACAATTGGTTCCGCTCCAGCGGCTCTAGCACACAGCAGTGTGATCAAACCGATTGGACCAGCACCACAGATCAGGACTGGGTCACCGAGCTGAACACCAGCACGCGCCATACAAGCCAGAGCTACGCTCAGCGGCTCCAGAAGTGCGCCGTCTTCATATGACATATCTCCAATCTTGTGGCACCATTTTGCTGGATGGTTGACGTATCGTCGGAGTAGGCCAGCTACTGGTGGTGTGGATAAGAACTCGACCTTCTCGCAACCGTTATATCTTCCAGTGAGGCAGGGCTCGCACTCTCCGCAAATAACATTGGGCTCGACAGCTACGCGGTCTCCAACCTTCAGGTTATCCACGGATGGATGAACTGCTAGAATAACACCAGCGGATTCGTGTCCTAAAATATGCGTGTCCTTAACGATCATGGGACCAATGCACCCGGCGTGCCAGAAGTGCACATCAGAGCTGGAGAAAGTCAGTTTCTGTAGTTGCGCCCCGGATGATTTCCTGACTTACCCGCAGATACCTGTGCTCTTAATCCCAATAGTCACCTCCCCTTCCTTCAGGTCGCTCCCAGACTGCACGGATTCCAGCGAGGGCGTAGCCTCTCCAACCCACAGCTTGTGCTCTGGGTTGGTGTAAACTCCTATATTTGGCAGCGTTTGCTTAATCTCCGTCCCCTGTGGTGCATTCCCCGTCGAAGACATTATTTCTCTCTGGCCTTTAATAATATTCTCCGGTGATGTGTGAGGTTAGATGTGAAAAAAAAACAGAAGCCCGCGACAATTCGAGAGGCAACTCCATCTAAATATGAGAGGAAAGTTTGGAGAGCCCAGTACCGTACCCCATTGACCCCATAAACCCCGCCCGCCCACGCATTACAATCATCCAGAACACCCCACCGGGGGCGTTGTTGCGGGGCAATACTCCCCGAAAGCCGCCCGAACGCCGGGAAATTATAGAAATTCTGTTCCACTTTCATTTTTGTTGTCCCAAAATAATATGGGCTCCAATCATATCTGCAGATAAGCATCACGATGGTCTTTTGGATCGGTGCTGGTGTAACCCTCTTTTTTCTGCGTGGGATGACAGTGCTACCCCCACTCACGATGTGCTCCCGAGGGGGTGAATACAGCCTCATTATATGGTGTACGAGAAAGATATATGATCAATCGCGTTCTTGCGGCTTTCAGGTGTGAATATGGCAATTCCAGAATTAGAAACGTGGGGATGGCCTTGCCGCGATTGTTATCCGATATCGTATGGCGATTGACTACCCCGCCATGACTGCCGATGAACAATCTGGTTCTCGCAATAATGGTTGCTAAGGCGTCATTGATTACATCGAGGACTCAGATCTAGATATATATGTCCCAGTTAATCTCAACTGTTATCAAACTACGAAGAACCAAATCTGTAATTCGCAACTTTAATTTTCTTCGCCCCGCACCGCAAAACTCTCCCCGTCACCAGCTCACCCACTCAACCAGAATGGCACCCATCAAAGTCGCCGTCCTAGACGACTACCACAACATCTCATCCGAATACCTAGCCAAACTTCCCTCATCCGCCTTCGAAATATCCTACTTCCCCTCCACCCTCCCCTCCTACGCCCACCCCTCCACCTCCACCTCCAGCAAAGCCGAGCTCGTCGCCCGCCTCGCCCCCTTCGAAATCATATCCACAATCCGCGAACGCACCCCCTTCCCCGGCGCCCTGCTCGAGCAGCTCCCAAACCTCAAGCTCCTCCAGACCACCGGCACCCGCAACCTCGCGATCGACCTCGATGCTGCCCGCCGCCTCGGTATCGCCGTGGTAGGCACGTCGTTTCGCGGAAAGCCCGCTGATGCGCCTCCAGGGCCGGATAGTACTACGCAGCACACTCTCGCCCTCATCCTCGCTCTCGCGCGCAACATCCCCGCCGATGACTTAAGTGTCAAGACAGGCGCATGGCAGAGCACTTTCGCCTTGCCTCTGACAGGGAGAACAGTCGGTATCGTAGGCCTCGGCCGCCTGGGTATTGCCGTAGCTTCTATCCTGTCCAGCGCATTCGGAATGCGCGTGGTAACCTGGAGCTCCAGCCTGACCCAGGAGGTAGCGGATGAGAAAGCCGCTGCTGCAGGCCTGCCTGTCGAGAGTGCGTGGGGAAAGACGTTCGAGGTTGTGTCGAAGGAGGAACTGTTCCGCCGCGCGGACCTGGTTAGTGTGCATTATGTCCTCTCAGAGCGTTCGCGCGGGGTAGTCGGACGAGCGGAACTCGCACTTTTGAAGCCATCTGCGCTACTGGTTAATACCTCGCGTGGTCCGCTTGTTGACCAGGACGCGCTGCTGGAGGTTTTGAAGGAAGGCAAGATCGGAGGAGCGGCGTTGGATGTGTTTGAGCTTGAGCCGCTACCGAAGGATAGCGAGTGGCGTAGTGAGAAGTGGGGGAAGGAAGGGAGGAGCAGGGTCGTCCTCACACCACATATGGGGTATGTTGAAGAGGGGACACTGAGACCCTGGGCGGAAGAGGCTGTGCGGAATATTGAGAAGTGGGGGAAGGGCGAAGGTGGGGAACTGACTCCATTGTCGGGATGAGTGTGGTTGCAGCTCTGTGTGTGTATCTTAGCCCAGTTGTATAATAATTCGATGAGGCTACTCTTTACTGCCTTTGTCAAGTATAACTTGGAATATTCTTTGACTACTTCCGCCATCTCCATTCGCCATGCATGTAGAGCCAGAAACCATACAGAGCAAGTATCATTATAGCCAAGACAAACCAACGAGCAAGAATCTTTGTATGAGCAGCAGACCATTCATGACATTTGATGCTAAACTTCGCAGGACGTCTATTCCACGCAGGTCGGTTGCCCCGATGGGCTGGAAACGATCTCCACTCGTTGTCTGCTAGAGTTGGAAGTTCTCGTGCTTGAAACCTTCCAATGTTGATATTATACCGTTGCCCCTGCTCCAAATCTAAATTGAGGGACAGCGCAAAAGTGTTGCCAGATTTATCATGGGGGGAAAAGATGCTCATTTTCTCGATTTATCATGGTAGTCGTGGAGGAAACATTGCCCTTGCGGGCAGTTTGTTTTATGTTCAAAAGTGTGGACATAGAGGTCATCCTCACCCCACAAGACGTCAAGACCCTGGAATTGTAAACGCGGAAGTTGTGTGGTTATACTAATTATTCGAGATATTTCTTATACAATTCTTATTTGTTTATCGGTCACAAATCTTTTAGAAGAGTAGATATGACATCTTCAAATAATAACAATCTTATTATTAACACCGGTTCATATTTCTCGATGGTATTTTTATACGTAAGTTCCACCAGTCACTTTATCTCCCACACCTCTATACTGTCTCAGTAAATGTGAAGAAATACAAGGCACTACATCAATGCCATTAGGTTTTAAGTCGTCTCTTTCTGCCCTGATTGGAATTGTCAAACGGCAAGCTTCACCTACTTGCTCCTTAGTCTAAGCAAATTCTTACTACTGATCAGCAGCCATATTTTAGATTGCTGCCAGCTCACAACCACCTGTCCTATAGCTGTTCACGCTTGAAAGATACAAAATACCCTATCAATAATTAGGACAGGCCATGGTGTGGCCCAAAAGTGCTCACGGGCTCGAACGAAGCAATGATCGGGATGTTTAACCAATACTACAATTTATACGGAAAATCTAGAAACTTTGATTGGTAGCTCAGTACAGCCCATTCGGAAAACATTTGGCTGCACGAGTATGTGTGGTGACAGAACAGGAGATGTGGCGCTCTTCGAACGAAGCTGAGATGCGGCACGCGTGCATATCGTCAGCGCGTGTGGCGCTGGGCAGGTTATAAGAATGAAAGCCAAATCTGCCTACCCCACCATTTTGCTGGACATCAACATTAGCAAAAAGCAATCAACGACCCGAGAGGATATCAAATTCAAACAGTTACTATTACGTCTTTTCGGTAGACAAAATGGAGCCAAACACTAGCACCCCGTACAAAAACTCATCTTTTCCCTGACTA